GCACCATCCCCAAACCAAAACCAGCCCCTCCTGCAGGGCCGGGAACGTGCAGCGGGTTTCGAGTGTGGCTGCTCTCCAGATCGCTTCCACCTGTGGGAAGGGGATGCTCGGTGGGGCACGGGGCTGGGGGGTGCCCACCTTTCTGTGGCAACACTGGCCGTCCCCCAAGGTCCCAGCCTGCCCATACGGACAGTGAGGTGGCATCTCCATCGCCATGCCCTCACCCTGAGGAGAAGGCAGGTGTGCATGAAGCCACGCATGGGTGCTTTCCAGTCGCTTATCGGGGCAGAGGTATTCTGCTGGTTCAGGAGTTATTTGGGGCAGGAGATTGCAGGCAGGCAGCATGACCGCACGAGCCGTGCTTCGTTTGGAGACCCAGCAGACAAATCTCGGGATGATGAACTTGGGGTTTCTCTGTACTTGCAAGTGTATAGGCATGTGCGCTCTGGGCCTGAATCATATTCCTGGACACAAAAGCAAAAAAGATGTGTCCTATCTTTGGCCAAAGAGAGAATGAAAATGAAAAAAAAAAAAAAGAGAGAGAGAGAGAGAGAAATAAAGAAAAGAGTGGGTGATGTGCCAGAACTTTTACTTTTTATTAAAAACTTAAGTGCAGATGACGAGAAACCCACCTGTTTTTGATTTTTTTTAATAAAAAGTCAAATAATCCCCACAAACAATTCCTTTGCAATGGTTTCAATATCGGAACCGTAAAGATGAACTTTAAAGGCGCTTGTAAAAGAAAGAATATTACAATAATTTCAGTGCAAAACTCCGATATCATATTTTCTTTTATTTGAAAGAAAAAGGGAATGTGGAGAAGATTTTTTTTTCCTTCCTCAGGATGCAGCAGTTTTAGATAATCTCCTCACTCCCCAAAGGACAGGGAGAGGAGGAGGAGGACAGGGAAGGCCTGAAGACCCAGAGCACTCTGCAGGATGCACCTGGGGACACTCTGGATGGCACTTGACCTCCTCCTACAGTTTTCCCCTGGCTGAAATTGGGAGCCATGCCCCTGGCTTAGCTACAACTGTGGCGTGAGAGCAGGGGGCAGCCCGTGGAGATACAGGAGCCTTCGTGGTGACATGGGGGCTTCCTTCTCCCACAGCAGGCAAGGAGAAAAGGGACAACAGTCCTTGGGACATGATGCGGCCCTGTCACCTTCCTCACCACAGCAAGTTCCTTAAACTCAAATGAACTTTCTTCAGGACTGTTGTACCCGGGGTGTGCAGGCACCAGACTGTGGTGGGACAGAGCTGCCCTGGTAGTGATGGGGCTGGGAAATGCCAGGCATGTCTGGCTGGGGCCAGCAGGAGCCAAGGGCGAGGAGGAAGGGGCAACATGCTCCTTTCTCCAGCAGCATCAAGGGTGAGGGCACAGAACGTGCTTCCTTTGGGGGAAATAAATTAAATTAAACTAAATGCACTGGCAGTCACTCATCTGCAGGCACTGCCGGATGTGTAGGCCCTGAGCGGGGGCACAGCGCTCTTGGGTGCTCAGCACAGTGCTTTGTTTTGGACTACAGGCCTGCCATCCCCCTGTACCAACACTGTGCTTTGCTGTGAAAAAGGAGAAGCTACTGGGAAAATATCCATGAGAATTAAACTCTTCTTTTTCTCTGAAAATCCTTCTTTCAGCCCACTTCACGGTCACTCTTGCTCCAACATCAGAATTTTAAAACGCATGGGAAGTGGATAAGGTGAATTTTAATCTCTTTTAAAACATACTTCAGGTGGGGGAGTTAAAGCCGGTGAGGATCAGGCAGCGGTCGAAGAACACATTTCAAAACCACTGTCAATCCGCAGCTTTATGAGATATCAGCAAACAGAAGCAGAGCCTGGCTAGAGCTTGCAGCCCAGAGGCGCAGCTCACACTGCCCCAAGGACACGGCTGCAGGATGGGTGCCACATGGCTTGTGGCTCCACCAGCTGCAGCAAGGGGCTCAAAGGCAGAGGTGGGCAAACTGGCTGGCCTGACTGGGGCTGAAAGTCAAGCAGGCGGAAGAATTCAGGAGCAGAAAATAAGGCTGAAATGAGCAAAAGAAGCAGCTCCGGGCTGCGAGGGGAAATGCGAGGCTGGCCAGTAAAAGGTTTCTTTTACCAGTGGCGGTGGAAGGTTTCTCTTTGTTTCATTCCCCGGCTCTCTAATTTTTTTCTCTGTCCAAAATCGGTTTACCAGCTCTGATTTCCTGTTTCCATTTTGGAAAAAGAAACAATCAGACAAAAATTCCCCTGCCAGGAGTCACGCTCAAAGCATCTTCAGGCTCAGACTTGTTAAACTCTCTGCTGGGGTGAGCTGGCAGCCTTGCAGGAGCAGCCTTTTTCATCTCATTTGGAGCCTGCAAAGCCGAACAAATGATGGTTTATAGACACGTAAACCCATAGCAATCAGTCCGTGGGTTCTTTTTCTCTTCAAGAACTCACTGTTCCTGAGTACCTCTGTGCAGCGGGTCAGGGAGGCAGCAGCACAGCATGGCAGTGGGCAGACCTCCTGTCCCTGCTGAGGGGCCTCTCCACGGCATTGCTCCTGAGGTGGCATTTTCCCTGTCTGCGCCCCTCAGCTTTCCTACCCTTGGCTTTGGGACCTGCTCAGACGTGGTGGTGGCTACTTGGACCTTGGCACCCAACTGTGCTGCAGCCAAGGCTCACAGGGGGGAGGATGGGGCTGCTGGGTGCTGCAGGGTCCAGGCAGGAGGGGCTGGTGGACACCTGCCAAGGGGAACCCTTTGCAGGCCCTTGTGCTTGGTGCCTTCCTTGGTGCCCTTCTAAAGGCAAAGCAATTGTTTTTTGGTGGCTTCAAGGCTGTTCTCGTGCCATCCGGACTCCTCCTGAGTTTCCCGCTGCCGCAACCAAGGGACACCGTGTGAATTCCTGCCTTTAGACACTCTGATATTTCCAGCCCTGTGGGTTGGACAGGAAGTTCTGGAAATAATTGAAGATGACAAGTATGAGTTTAGCCAATGTGATTTATGCGGATATTTTTCTGAATCCTCCCAATCCTCAGCCCTCCCTTCCGACGCGTTTCGCTGCCCCGACAGCCACAGTGCGGACGAAGCAAGGCCACCATCCCATGCAGCCCTGCTGGCTACAAGGTACGATGACATGCGGGGGACCTCAGGATGACCTGGTGACACCAAACAGCTCCCGCACCTTCTCCTTTTGAGCCAAGGCACCTGTGATGTTGCCCATGTGACCCCAACAAAACCACATAATTAAGGCGAGAGATGTGCAGGGCTGCGGGGACCGTGCCCCTCTGCCTGGCGCTTCCACCCGCCTGCGCTGCTCGCCACTTGTCCAAACAGCCGTAAATCACCACCGATTCCCAGCTCTCGCTGGGGAGCTTGGGGCTTCAAAGGCAGCAAGCGCAACCCTCTGGTGAGTCGCATGAGGACCCCCCAGGCTTCTCCATCACAGGGCTGCCACCAGCCACCCCAGCAGTGCGCACCCATGGGTGCACAAAGCAGACCCTTGCACCACTTCCTAGCTTGCTCCTCTGCCAAATGTCAGTGCTCACTCACCCCACCAGCATTTTTTTGTTTGTTTTTGTTTTTCCTATTGTAAGTTCTTCCCAAGTATTAGAAAGAGAGTAAAAAGGGCACCAGAGATATTGTAATCCACTTGTCTGGAGCTCAGAGGCAAATCCCTGGTCTGCACCCCCAATAACCCACACAAAATGGCAAAGTGAGAGTGCTGGACATCAGCGTTTCTTGGCACTGTCTCAATGGGCAGGCTACAGCCCCAGGAAAAAGAAAAAAGAAAAAAAAAGTATATTTGCATTTACTGATGCATTTACATTTGCTAGGTTAGTGGAGAACTGTCCAGCGGCACCAAGCTGCTGTCCATTCCTTTTTCACACTTAGTTTTCTTCCTTGTCATTATATTTTATTTTATTTTATTTTATTTTATTTTATTTTATTTTATTATTTTATTATTTTATTTATTTGAGGCTTCTTAACACTGCAGAGGAAGCAGAGGTTATAGCAGGCGCTTTACATGCAAGGGGGTGACACAGCATATTCAGCTGGGAATGTCATTTCCTTCAAGTGTGACCCGAGCATCAGATGTTTGCCTTCCCAGGAATCAAGGTGAAGAAGAGCAAACACACACTCGGACCAGGAAAATAATGAAAGGCAGGGGCTGGGCTGAGCTGTATGGGCACAGAGGCAGAGCCTGCTGGCTGCCCACGAGCCAATGGTGTGTGGAAAACTCATCAGTGGGCAGCCTGCCAGAGCCGAACTGTGCCTATGGGTGGTCACTAACAAAGAGTAGAAAAAGAGGAAGAAAAAGAAAGAAAAGCCTGCGCGCAGATGATTTTCCATGATGGGCGCTGTCTTACTGAGCAGCCCAAGCAGCGTAACCATCACCCTCCTGCTGAAAGACAAAATGTCAGCGGAGGAAGGGGCGGAGTGCCCATGGTGCTGGGAGGCTTTGGGACAGCCGTGTGGCTGCATGCGGTGGCACTTCAGGTGGCTGTGTCACTAGGGCTGCCCCTGCCCGTAGCAGCCCCTGCCCCAGCCACCCCATCCCTTCACCCGTGCGTGTAATGTCCCAGAAATGTGCTTCTCATATCCCCACACCTGCTGTGAGCCCACCTCCTTGTGGGCTCCAAAATAACGCCACTGGACTTGAGGAAACGGAGAAGGGAAACTTCAACAGGGCAACGCTGCGTTTCCAAAAACGTGTTCAACTTCAAATGTAGTCTCTGCTCCCTGCCTGCATGTTCACAGCGAAGGGAGGCCCTGACCCCATGTCCCTACGAGCACCCCATAGGCACACAGCTGCCTCTGATGGCAGCAGCACGGTGGGAGCAAGAGCAGTGAATGGGCACCCTCAGGCTGTGCCAGGGAGCTCGATCCCAGCTGGGACCAGCCCAGCAGCCCCTGGCCCCCAGGCACCTGCACTTAGGCAGAGGCCAGGCGGCCCCGGGGTGCTGATCCCCCACACCTGTGCCACATTGTCACCTCCCCACCCAGCTGCTCAGGCCTATTTAAGCCTTCCCCAGAGAAGCAATATTGGTTGGTCTATTGCTGGGGGGGGTGTGTATGGAGTCTGGTTGGGTCCCTCTATGCTGTCCTGTGGGGCCTATGCAGGCCCTGTGGGGCCTGGCCCAGCTCTGCTGCAATGAGGTGTGAGGCTCCCAGGCAGTTTGGTGGTATTGCAGCAGGAGAGGTCTTGGAGAAGGGGATGGGGCAGAGCCTGAGCAAAGGTAAGGTGGTAAGATACTGAGAAAATGGAGAAAGATGTGGGAGAGCTGTGAATGGGCTGATGACCAGGCTGCAATGTGCAGCTGATTTGGTTATGAAGGGCTCTGGGGGGCTTTTTGGTGAAGCCATAGCCGCTGCTGGCTGAGAGGAGCGGAGTGGCTGTGCTTTGCCTCCAATAAACATGTTACAAGACTGCCAGCTTGATAGCTCAGGGGCTGCAGCTCCTCTGTGTAGGCACATGGAAGTTATTGATGCCTGTGCTGTGCTACGTCGGTAGCAGCTGGGTGGCTGGGCTCTGCAGCTTGCAGTCTCAATGAGCAAGAGACTGTGCTGGGGTTATTTGTAAGGGTGTGTGCTGCTGCCTCCCTGGGATGTGTCCTGAACATCCAGTGGGTGCTGGGAGGGAGCTTACCTTCCCTCTTAGCAGAGGTGTTAATAGAGGCTCTTTTCTATGGGCATCTGCTGGTTTTCATTTTATCCCCCCTAATTTGTTGAGATCTAATTCTTTTTCCTGTTTGGCCAGGGCTGAGCAGCAGACTGAAAAGCAATGGGAAGAGACTTCTGGTTTGGTGGAGGGATGTGTACTTGAGAGATTACACAAACCCCACTTCTTTAGGAAGCCAGGCTGAAAACCCACAATGCTTATTTTCTAAGAAAATAAACCGTTCCAATACATCAACTGTCTGCACATAGGCGGGACAATCACTGCTTAGCGAAATTACTATAATTTTCCCTTTTCTGTCCTTCCAAAACGACTCCTCTAGGCTTGGATCTCAGGCAGGCTATAAAATGTGGCTACTGAAAAAGTTGAGCGTGCGGATGCTGTTTATTACATTACTGCTGAGTGCTTCTGTGTTGCAGGGCTCTGAGCTGGGGGAATTGGGCAGTCGGGATTTCTATTCCAGATGTGTTTTGTGAGTGATCTGGAGGCTCTGCAAGTGAGGAGAGCTGCCCGCAGGGCGCAGCATCTCCCCGCTGGGCTCTGTGCTGCAGGGTGCTGTGGGTGTGCATCAGACACTGGGTGCCTGTGGGTGCCCCTGCTGCCTCTGTGCCCTGCTGGTTAGTTGGGGAATGGCTCAGGGGCCTCTGTAAGAACTACTTCAATTTACCCCTGAGCGTGGCCATACCTGTACCTGTTTCCCATGGTATTTGTTGGGGTAGACATTAAGAAAATAATACAAGCTTTATTGAACAATATTGCTGGCTTGAATGCAGCTGGGGGGCACACCTTCAGAAAGGAGGTGCCTTTCTAACTGCTCTCTAGAAAAAGGGTGATACAGTTCTGTTTGTCAGCTGTGCCCTGTGAGGCCCAGCACAGCAGAACAATGGGGTGGTGCCCTGAAGCTGTTGTTAGTCACTGGCTCTGGATCACTTCTCACCAAGAACAGCTGGTTTTGGGTCAGAAACCCCAATGGAAGCAAGAAGTGTGGAGAGGGTCCTGCTGAGCCCCCCAATACACAGAGAATTAATTGTGGGGAAAATTCTGTTTTGGGATCCAGCCCCCAAAGCCCCCGTGTGCCCGAGGAATTTATTGGACCTAGCCCCAGATCAGGGGAGGTTAAATGGGCTCCCACACACATGCTCCTAGAGCTTTATGTGCTTGTAATATTCTAGGTTGTTTTCTGGTCCCTGATGATTTAATTCATTGTGTTTCGTATTTGTTTTATAACTGGCAGGCAGTTAATGTTATTGGCAAAAGAGTAAATAAAAGATAAATGGTGCCTGTATTCTAAAAAAAAATAAAAGCCACATTGTTCAAAAACATGCAGGCACCCCAAAACCCATTTTCTCGGAAGCTTTGCATGGCCTTCTGTTTCTGAGCTGTCTTGCACCTCTCACCTGGTTCAGGGGATGCTGGTGGTGGGTGAGGGCATGCTGCATGTCTGGGGCTGGGCTGGTGTGAGTGGCTCTGGGTGCTCACCCCTCATGGGTGAGGGTGGCTGCTGCCCAGACAGCTGAGGGACCTGAGAGGCTGCAGCATGGGGAAAAATAAAAAATAAAATACAAGGAGGGGTTGGGACCTAAGAAAGTGCGAGTCTGGCAAGAGATTTGAATCTCTGAGGCAAATAAAAGTAAATGTTGCTCTTGCTAAAGCTGCCTATTAAAATTTCCATTCACCAGCTTTTCTCCTTCATTAGGACTAATGAACAGAGCAGTCTTGGCCTTTCTTTGCTCCCTTGCTTGTGCCTGCAGGCTTTGTCATCAGACCCCCCTGCAGCACCAAACTTTGTGTTTTCCCTGTGCTGCCCTCCCTTTGTGCCTGGGGTGAAACCTTGGCCCACTGACATCAGTGGCTGATTTGGGGAAAGCTGATGTCTTACCCAGAACAATATTCTGATATAAAAAATGTTACTAGCTGGCATCGGTGTATTGATGCTCAGTCTTTCTTTCTGAGACCTCATTAGTACACAAATGATTTTTTTAACCTCTGAAGTCCCCTATCCCAGCTCCTAGAGCTATTGAAGCAAATGAAAGCACCAGTTGTTCCCAGTCCCTGCTGGGTAAGCTCACAGGTTTGAGGACAGTGCTCCATTGCTGAGCCCCATGGGAGCAGACCAGCGCTGCCCGGTGTGACTATAGTTACAGTAATTAAAGGGCTCTCTTCTTCCTTGTGAAAAAAGATGAGCTGACCAGGTTTCTGCACTGTTGTGGAGACTTAGCGTGGTGGATGTTGTTCCCGTTCAGCCCCAAATGGAGCAGCCAAGTTTTGCAGTGTGTCCCCAGCCCCGAGCTGGGCCCTCGACTTCTGCCCCTGTTTGGGTGCCGGGAGGAGCAGGCAGTGTGAGCATGGCTTCAGGAAGCCAGTCACAGCTGGGTTGTGAAACGAGAGCTGCATCCTAGCCTAATGCTTTAACCACAAACCCTCTCTCCAATGTACACTTTTTTCCTTGTATCCAAAACCCATTCAAGTGTCTGGAGCGGTTGAACATCTGGTATTAACTGCTCATCCCAGTTCTGAGTTTCAGAAAATGAATCTGAGCAATTGGATTAGTCACATCCCCAGCAGCTGACTGTCTCATTCCAACTCTTCCTGGGGTTTTAACTTCTTGTTACCTGTTCCCTTCCAGGCCCACGTTCTTTTGAGTGACTGGGACTCTGTGCTGTGCCAGGGTGCTGGAGGACCCCTGCTGCCTGCTGGAGGAGCAGAGGTAAGGGAAGGGACTTCGGTCTCTCTTGATTTTGCTGCTGCGCCTTGGTGTGTGGGACAGGGAGAAATTAGTATTGCTGTCTGAGCTGGGCCTGTCCTGCATGGGGGGAATGAGCAGTGAGCAGGTGTGACCAGCACTGAGGGCTTGCTCTGTGCACAGAGATGAACAGTGGCTTAATGGAAGTGTTGGGACTTCACCATGCAGCCAGATGTGTAATTTCCTCCCAGTGGAAATGTTGGGTGCTTGCTTGGTGGAGTTAGAAGCTGAGGATTAACTATGCTGCAGGAGAGTCACTGCTTTCTAAACAAAATATTTTGGAATATTCAAGCCTAAAACATTTGGACTGTGACACTTCTAGGTGAAGTCTTTCATTAGCAGTATCTCCTCTTAAAGTAAGCATTGTTGAAGTAAGGTTTTTTCCACAGATGTTGAGTTTGATGGACCTGCTTGTTCTGATGAGAAAGACTTTCAGCAGAAAATGTTTAACCTACTTGACTGTTAAACTTAATTCCCTACTAGTGTGGGTGCTCTGCTTCAGCTTTGAATTGCATTGTGACCTGTGTTCAAGTGTTCTTATGCCAGGCCTCCAAATGTGCATTGCTGTGAGCTGGAAGGTGTGCTGCATGGAGCTGGAGCTTAGCCAGGTGTTTTGGGGCTGGAGCTGTGCCTGGTGTCCATTACATGAACGGATGGCCACATTGCAGCTGATGTTACTGGGGGTGCACAAGGGTGGCATGGATTTACTAATGGATGGTGGAAGACCTCTGAAAGGCACAGTGAGGAACACCTCCTAACGTGGATGCTTAATCTGCTGGGAGGACGGGTGGGCATGAGGTGTTTTCAGTTCTAAATTTTAAAAAATATTACATAGATCAGGGCAGAGACTGTGGTTTAGAGAAGGAAGAGTGATCTGGGAAGCAGGATTCACCAGTGCCTCTCCTGGAAAACAGTTTTTATTTAACTTGAAAAACATGCCAATAACAGAAAACATAACTCATCTTGTGAAAGTTATGGTTGGCTGTAAAATAGAATACAGAAAACTTTCCTACTCAAGCTGAAATGTTTTTCTTTTAATTCCTTGGTATTCTCTCTGCAGCATTATAAACTCTAATTCATGCCTTGGCCTGGGCTTCAAGATCTAGCTGTGTTTAGCAGAAAGTAGCCCACTTTCAAAACTTTCGAGATTTTGTCACACACCTTCCCTAGCATTAAAAAATACCACATGTCAGTAGGTCTTTTTGCATTTATGGGATCTATGGCTTAGGGGAGAGGCAGAGAGGAGGATTGGAAGGTAAATAACTAACTAAATGGGTTTTAACTGCTGCATGTTTTAAATATCCTTTTAAAAACTAATATTGTAAACTGAGATGGGCTCCAAGTTCAGGGATTGCAGATGTCATTTATTTTCCTTCCAGGTAGTTCTTAGACCGTACAGTTCCGGCCGTGATTTAATGTTGAGAGTTTAAATGGAACCGTATGTAATTAGACATCGGGCAATATAACAATGAGGATTTCTGATGTCCTCTGCATTTTGTAGGGACACGGCTTCCTGTGGGAGTTGTAGGCATTTTTAGAGCCATGGAAAATGCTTGTCTCGCTTCCCCACCCAGACCCCTGTGATGCATCAAGGGGGGGTGGAGGGGGATGCTGCTGGGCTGGGGCAGGAGAGGGCAGCTTGGGCTTGTGTCTAAGCCTGACTTATGTACAGAGCCCCCATCTTGCTCCACCATGCTTTCCAAATGAAGAAGCAAGGGAACAGCTGCCTTGCTAGAGCAGAACAGCATTTGGGCTTTTGACTGTGGACATCATCTCAGACATTGTTTTCATTTTGAAATAGTGTAAAACAAATGCTTTGGAAATTTCCAAGGAAGAAAACGAAAATAAACCCTGGTTATGTTTTCATTTTGTTGTCCTGAAACTCACAACAATGCTTTTTTAGATTTTTTGCGTTACCCAAACTGTCGTGTATCCAGACATCACTCCCACTGGAGCATCTGCTCTGTTCGACGAGGGCTTGAATCCCATGAAAACTGTCTCATCTCCTGCAGACCGGCTCCGACCTATGCTTCCAGTCCGCTTCCCAGGCAGTGCATAAAGTGTGTGCTGCTGTACTGAGCACAGCTCCAACGCCTTTAGCCAATTAAGACTACATTAATTGTGGCTTGCCCTCAGGTGCATGCATGCCCTGCCCCTTGCCGCAGATGTGCTGTCCCATCCCATTTGGCATCTAAAGCTCAGGGCAAGGCCATGGAGCAGTGCCTGTGGATGACCTGGCCAGCTTTTTGGGGTGTGTAAGCACCCTGTGGCTGAGATGCCATTAATGGGGTTTACTCCTCTGACGTGTCATAAATCTTTATCACCATGTATGGCTGAGTTATAAATCTCATCTGCAAAGAGCAGTAAAACACCACCCAGTGTACAGGAAGGTGTCTTCATGGCTTTAAGTATTTGATGCCATTTTGAAGTGTTCAGTGTTTTGGAGATGTTATGTCCTTTTTAATCAGTGTTGTATGTCAGAAAGGGAAGGGGGATTTTATTAAATCTGGTGAAATAGTAGCATTGAAAAACTGCCCAAAGAAAACAGTACAACCCTTAAACTGAAGGATTTTGTTTTGAAGTCTTATGTGAGAAGCTCTCTTTAATATTTCTAGTCTGAAAAGTGTGAAGGCAGAAACCTTAACTTGCTGACCAACAAGTTAGAAAGCCACGGAGCCCTGCCTGGTGGGTGGCTTTGTGCAGCCAGCAGCCTGTTGCTGCTGTAAGCCACTGTCCCAGGCTCCCCCTGTAAGAGCAGCTTGCGAGTTCTGTGCTCTGCTTATGGAAGAGGGGACAGGAGCACACAAACAGATGTGAGAATAAGTGTTTGGGGATGTTCAAGCATGTAAGGAAAAAAAGAAAATAGTTATTGATTTACTTGAAGAAACTGACTTTCCAGCTTCATCCTCTTGGGATGGGTGCCCCTGAGCATGTTCTGCACCCAGCAGGATGAGCAGGGGGCTGGTGGCAGAGCGCACCCACCTTGGTTTTGTGTGCAGGCAGCAGCATGGTGGGGCTGGCAAAGGTAAGATGTGCACCGAGGGGATGGATCTGTCACGCAGGGGATGCTGCTCTCTTCCCCCTACCCCTTGCAGATGGCACAAGACATGTCTGTAAAGCATGGCATCATAATTTCAGTGGTGTGACTGTAAGATGCTGGTGTTTCACGCCTGCGCCATTTGCTGTTGTCCGTGTTTTGGTTTTTTGGGTGGTTAGAAAAGTTCTGCTCACTGTACTCACAGGTGCTCCTCTGGGCCTCTTCTCTCCAGGATGGCTGTAGTGCTGTTTCTCCAGCGGCAGCTCATAGTTAATTATAATGAAATGAGTGCAACAAAAGTCTCCTATGAGGGGGGGGGAAAAAGAAACAGCGCGAGTGCTAGACAGGCTAGACAGCTATTCGTCTGATGTTCATAACTCACAAAATATCAGCCGTTTGCAAAGTAAATGATTTATCATAGAAAAATAAAGCGTGGTTTCCTACAGACTCCTTTCTAGAAACCCTGCATTTATTTACCTTCACAGCGTGGCTGTTTGGAAAAGGTATTTCTCATGAAATATTAAATGTGCTTTTTATTTTGGAAGAGTTCTCAACGGTTGGGGGAAGTAGAAATAAAGCTAACTAGAAAACTGCAAACCTGCAAGTGAGAAGAAAAGCTGCAGCTTTTGTCTATCCTTTTGGAGAGGCAAACTGTGAGTGTCAGTAAAATGCTTTTTTTCAGTGGTGCTCCCTGACCAGCCACAATTTAAAAGACTGAAATGTTTGTGCAAGATGGCTTCCTTGAAGTCTAATATTAGTACCTTATGCTGGAATAATATAGCAACAAATTCACCGTTTTTCTCCTGATCTGGACAGTGGGTCCACAGGGCAGCTAGGAATGTGCTGCAGGAGGATTTATGGCATGTGCTGTCTGCCAGCATTCAGCTGAGAGCAGCTCTTATTTTAAATGATAGCTGGATATATTTTATCTGAAGTATTACAATAAAAATAGAACTGTGCATGATATTTTTTTATTTCACAATGGCACTAATCAGGATTCTTACAAGGAGGAAGAAAGCTTTGTTTCAGTGAGTTAGGTACTTGCTTCCAGGTGAACAAACTGCTCTTGTGGATTTTTTTCTTGCTTTCTTTTTTCAAAGAAGTGGCTTCTTTTGCAGTTTTTGAAATAACTGCCGAAGTGCAGTTATTTAATTGCTGAGAGAACCAGTGCTGCAAGTAAAACATGGACAAAAAGCTATCTGATTTATTCTGTTTTCCTGCAGGTACTGCCCCACACATGCGAAGCTGAACTTGTGCAGTATCACATAACTAAATGAGAAGCTGTAAGGAACTCAGCAGTGTGAAATAAGTAGCATGCACTGTTCATGCTTGCCTCCGTGTATGATCAGAAATATCTCTTTGCGTGCATTAGACACAGCCTCCTAGCTCAGGGTCCTTAATAAACATGCGTGCCTTATCTTCTTGTCGTCTTTCCCCTCCCCAGCAGAAAGAGATCACACAGAATCACAGAATTTCTAGGTTGGAAGAGACCTCAAGATCATCGAGTCCAACCTCTGACCTAACACTAACAGTCCCCACTAAACCATATCACTGAGCTCTACATCTAAACGTCTTTTAAAGACCTCCAGGGATGGTGACTCAACCACTTCCTTGGGCAGCCTGTTCCAGTGCCTAACAACCTTTTTGGTGAAGAAGTTTTTCCTAACATCCAACCTAAAACTCCCCTGGCGCAACTTAAGCCCATTCCCCTCGTCCTGTCACCAGGCACGTGGGAGAACAGACCAACCCCCACCTCGCTGCAGCCTCCTTTAAGGTACTTGTAGATGGCGATAAGGTCGCCCCTGAGCCTCCTCTTCTCCAGGCTGAACAAGCCCAGCTCCTTCAGCTGCTCCTCATAGGACTCTGCTCCAGGGGCTGGAGCTGGGCTTTGGGTAGTACACGATGGGTTCTCACAGTCCTGCAGGTAAATGAAAACAGTATCTGATTGCCAAAAGCCTATGGAAATACATGGAAATCTGCATTTAAACAGGGTTTATGTCAGGCAGTGCAATGACAAGCTGGTACATCAGTTTTCAGACATCTAATTAGCTCCCTCTTTTTTTTTTTTTTTTTTTTTTTTTTTACCCCTGTTACATTTAGTGGTGTTAATTGATGCTAGTGTATCTCTGTTCCACTGATTGTAGGCTCTTGGTGATGGCTGGCTTCAGGGTGTTTTTTTGTTTTTTTGTGTTTTTTTTTTTTTGAAGACTGACAACTGATTGAGATCAGAATTGCACACAGCAGTATTTTCAGGGGTACTTGCCAGAGGGTCAGTTTGCCTGCTTGATGTATTTTTTGTGAGTGTTGTAAATTTATTTTAAGACCTTTGGTACTGGACTCATATTTTTTTGAGAATTGTCCTTTCACTGAATGGCAATGTTCTAGTAATTTTCACTAATGAAAATCTCCCAAACTCAAAAGTCCCAACAGACAATGAAAATGTAAGAAAGCAAGTAAGGAGAACTTGATGTTCATTTGCTCTCAGAGGAGCATTTCTCCAAATTACTCTGGACCAAAGGGGGTCCCTTTTTGGCAGGCTCATGGTAGCAGTGCCACAGGTTTTTGGGGGGCTGTCAAGCTGAGCTGCCTCTATATGGAGCTCTGCTGAACCCTGCTGGGAGGGGAATGTGTGTGCTGGCTGGGCTGCAGCTGCAATCCCTGGTCAAGATGCTGAAATAAGTTTAACTCCCCAGGAAGTGTTCCCCCAATAGCCAATGGATTCCTTATCCTCTGTCATGTTATTCTCTGGAATACAGCCCAAAAGACTGTCATGCTATGCCATAATTAGTGCTGCCAATTTATTCCAGAGCTGTAGCTCTGTTTGAGACTAAGGCAGAAGAATTTGCACTCCAAGTTGTGTTGCTGTGTGATGAGGAAGAAGAGGGGTTGCTAATCCAGTCACAAGGGACTGGACCTTTTTGTTAATTTTTGTTAATATTTCTGTTGATATTTTTTTCCTGTGGTAATCTCACATCTGGCTTCACACA